CCATTCTTATTATTCCACAGACAGATTTTGAAGAACCACAAAGCTATGAAGAAATCTTGCGAGATGAAAGTTCGAGCAAGTGGGAGTTGACAGAACTTTCACCAGGAAAGAAGACATTGCACAACAAGTGAGTGTACCAGGTGAAGACTGAGTGTGATGTCAGTAAGAGGTATAAGATTAGACTTGTTGAAAAAGACTTTCAGCAGAGGCAGGATGTTGCCCATGCAATGAGAGTTGTAAGAAGAGACAAGAGTGACCCAGGAAACAGCTTGGAGGTGCAAAGCTATGTGGAGCCTACTGATATGTTGACTGACGGTGTTACTCTTGAGAAACTGAAGTTGTGCACAGCTTCAGTTGGTCTTCTGAAGCGAAGACCGATGCTTTGAGTTACAGAGGTGAAGGATTCAAGGTGGAGGATTCACAGTAGAGGATTCAAGTTAGAGGATACATGTTGAAGAAAAAGGCGACACCGCCAGTGGAGGATATCAGTTTGAGGAAGGAGATGTAGCAGTCTGTGTACCAGTCTCCAAGTGGGGGAATTGTTAGAAACGGTGGAGCCCGGTTCACTATGCTTGAGCGGTTACTTTGCTTTGGAGAGTCACACTTCTTCACATATAATCACTCATGTCTTCCTCTTTTGTGAAGTGAAGCATCTCTTCGCTCCCTCATGTTCGTGATAAAAGCTTCGGATGACTCTCCTTGGATTTAGTGGTCACGCTTTGAGTTCTTCTTCAGTTTCCTCAGGATAGAGGAAGGTTTCCTCAGGGCAGAGGAAGAGAAGTGCAAGGAGGAGCGGTTCCTTGCAGCAAAAGGAAGAAGAAGAAGAAGAAGAAGATTGTTCTCCCTCGGCTTCTTCTTGGTGGCTTGTGACAAAATTGAAATTGAGTTTATTTCTCTTGTAAGTTTGTCTTCTTCGGTGTATCTCGGTGTAGAGTTTTCTTCGATATATCTCGATATAGAGAGAGAAGAACAGGGAGAGCAACGAAGAGTGAGAGATTCCTCTTATAAGTCGAGGTGATCGACTGGTGTAAATTCCTCAAATAGTAAAATCCTCTGCAACTCCGTGGAAGTAAACAATTTGTCGAACCACGTAAATCTGTGTGTTCCGATGTGTTGTTCTTTTCTGGTGTGATTTTTCTCATTCTATTTTTCACTTCGTCGATCGTTCTCCTGTTTGATTTATATATATACCACATCAACTGGTATATCTAGATCTCACAATAACAACACCCTTATTGTCTCCAGGACTGCCCTTAGGTGCCCCACATGCTCTATCTATATACGACTGTAGACCAAAATGTCATCAAAGAGAGCCGAGAAAATTTTTTGAAGATAATCTCAAAAACCCTATTCATTAGAGACTGAAATGTCGTTGGTGCGTTGGTGAGGACAAGCGACATCATTAAAAAATCATAATGTCCTTCATATGTCCTGAAAGTTATCTTATGCAAATCTCTGAATTCATCATGATCTGGTGGTATCCCGACTTATGATCAATTTTTGAGAAAATAACTGTCACATAAAACTCATCCAGCAACTCATCAATCACAGGAATAGAAAACTTATCCAACACCGTTTCCTTGTTCAAAGCCCGCTAGTCCACACAGAATCTTTAGCTACCATCTTTTTCTTCACCAACCAGATGAGATTGAAAAAAGGGCTCACACTAGGCCTGATAATCCCACCCGTGAGCATATCTCAGAGCAACTTCTCTATCTCATCCTTTTGAATCTGAGAGTGCCTGTATGGTATGATGTTGATGGGGGGAAACACCCTCCTTCAAGGTAATAGCGTGCTCGTGCTCCCTTGGCGGAGGTAACCCGCTTGGTTGTTGAAAGACATTTGTAAACTATTGCAGGAGCTGTTGTACCCCTTCAGAAAACTCTGTCAACTCTGAATCTCGAATCTCCTCAATGCTCTGCAACTCCACCAACTAGCCAGTCCTGCTCCCCTTATTGACTTGACCATGATTTTGAGCGACACCATAGTTTTGCATAAACTAGCATCTCCTCTAAGCATCACCTTCCTACCCTCCACTTAGAACTCCATCGTTAGGGACTTCAAATCCACCTTCATCTCCCACGACGTTCACGGCCAATTCATCCCCAAAATCACATCTGTGTTGCCTCAATCTAAGTGAAGGAAATCCTCCACTTGTAAGCCATGTAGTGTCAGAACCACTCCCTTGCAAATTCCCTAACTTTTCTCCACTTTCCTTATCCCCATCACAACGTTGAAGCTCTCTATAGTTACTAGCTCCTACCCTAGCTTCTCTACAACCTAATTTCAGATAAAGTTATATGTGACTCAGCTATCAACCAACACCACAATTAGCAGTTCCCCGATCCACCCCCTCACCTTCATAGTGTGATTTGGAGTAAATCTCATCACCGAATTGAGTGACACCTCTGTCACATCCAAATGCAGATGCTCCTTCTCCATCGCCACCTCCTCTGATTCCTCACTCTCTATATCCTCCTCCTGAACTAATAGAATTTGAAGGGCAAGTTCTTTGCAACTTATCAAAGTGGTAACACTCATTTTGCTCTTTTATCTTGTATTTCGACATCTGTAAGGCGCTTGAAATTACCCCCAGAAGATGTTCTTGTATTCTTCTCCTTCGACGTCTCTCTCTAAAATGACATCGTATGGGTCCTCGGTGTCGTAGCAGTCAAGTGGCCCTTGTAGAATCCTCGAGTGTTGCCACCTTTGCTGGTCTTTTTCATCTGTTTTTTATCCTCCATCATCTGAGCAAGTTTCATCATTTCCCTCAATCCACGCGGTCTCAAGTATCGGATGGCTGCTCAGATGTCGAGGTTTAGAACTTTCGAGAAGTTCCCTTCCAGTCCTGCAACAGAAATACCACTCAACTTTCCTGACAAGAGCTATAACTTCTCCCGATATTCCACAATCTCCTCCTCCTGAGTCAGAGCATAGAATTTCTTATGAAGGTTTCCTTCTCAAATGGCTCAGAAACGCTCCAACAAGCAATCCTTAAACATCTCTCATAAGTGCATCAGATACCTAGCCTCCATCCACTAAAAACACGCTAAAGCCTTCCCCTCTAAGGATAATCCCGCTGTTATGAGCTTCTCTTTCTCAGTTAACCCATTGATTGCAAAGTACCATTCCACTCGATACACCCACCCATATGCATCCTCACCTTCAAAGATTGACATCTTCAGTTTTCTGACTCTTGCATTTCCACCCCAACCTCCCCTTCCTCCAATATTTCTCCCCTTGTATCTAGGGTGAAACTCCCTCCTCCGCTCATAGGCATTCCCAACCCTCGATTCCCTCCTTCCTCCATCATACTGTTCCATGCCCCTTATATCATCTATCCTCCAACTTTCGACCCATCCCCCTCCGTCGGAAGTCTCCACTCCCCCTCTCAGACTCTTAGGAGATGCTCATATTGGTAGATGATGTCTCCCTCAATGCCTTCTTGTTCGATCTCCTTTCCTTTTGACCGGGCCAAGAATTCTTTGATCAACCATTGGTTAGGGTTTGCAACTAGTGCGGCCGACACGACCTTGGATTGCATCTTTATGAGCTTTTTCATCATCTCCCACATTTCTCCTATACTCTCAAATCCCTCCTCCAGTTGACTTTCAATGGAAGAAAACATGTCCTCCATGGTGACGAACTTTTCCTCCATTCCCGATTTGATTTGTCCTACCTCTCTTTTTAGCACATCCACTTTCTTTGCAGTCATCTCACCACGATCTATGCTCTATACCAATTTGATACGCTCCGGAGCAGAAATTAGCAAGCAAACAACCATGAATCGGCAAGAGATAGACGACAAACTCAAAAGAGGGCTGCTCTTAACAAGCAAATAAAAGCAACCAAGAAAGATACAAGGGTGATCTAATTTTTGAGAGGTAGATCGGCTCTCTCACACCGTTATGTTTTGCTAGGAACACCACAAAAGAAACAAAAACCAGCATAAAAAGAACAAACCTTAAGTCCTCCCTTTAATAGAATCCTCTCCCAACATTTCAAAGTTTTGCCCCCAACATTCCCTTCCAATTCCTTCAATTTCTCCTCCTTGCATATGTGATTAGGGCCCCCGTGGACCCCATCTTCTTCCAGGCTTCTTAGGCCATAGCAAATTGCCGCTTCCCTCCTCCACGCAAGAAAAACCGGTCTGATCCCTGTGTAGTTGGGCCACTTGAAGGGATCTCAACCGGTCCAGGAGGGGCCAGTCAACTCTCGAGCGTAATAGTTTTACGGTAGGAGTTAATTTCATATTAAGCCATAGAATTAATATTGGTACAAGTACTAGAGACCACTTCACATAGATAATCAAAAATGACTAGGGAGGTTTTAGGTAAAGAGCAGAGCTAGAGATGATAAAGACTGAGCTGCACCTTTCTGCAATATCGGTGATAGAAAATGCATTATGATCAATAATTAATAAGTGAAGCAAATCAAATGATACTACTAATTGGCAAGAAAATCTGAGAATAAGAAACGAGTAAAGAAAGGCCGTCAATTGAACAATACAAAAAACTAAAAAGGGTCAAAATTCCTGAAGACCTGTTTTAACTATATTTTTAAAAGTTTTAGTTTGCGAAGACGATGGATTGTTATGTTAACGTTTATGACTGTATAGGTGAAAGAAAACTAAAGATGATAACAATAGCATCAGATTCACAAAAAGATAAAATTTTAACAATAATCATAATAAAACTCTGCATGTTATAAAACTCAATTCAAAATGAAATTAAAACCACCCCTCCCTGATACATATTACTCGAGCATTTCGTCCCATAGGGCAGCCAAAATAACTAAGGAAATCAAAAGACGCCTTTGAAAAGAAAAAAAAAATGATCTAAGGTAATTCTAAAGGAATTTATTGAAGAAAAAAAAAAGAGTATCAAACCTTATGCAGTGACAAAGCGATCAATCAATCCTAGCAGCTATAAGATGACATACAGATCTAAATTGAAATTGGAAAGAATAATGAAACTAACTAAAGAGAAATAGAACTTTACTTGGCTGGCAAGTGAAAGGGCGTGGTATTGCATTCGAGGACTACGACCAATGTCACCAAGAACCACAATAGCAACTCTAGGTTTCTTCTCCATCAGTCCCTGGTCAAAAACTTAACTAAACTAGTTAAAATAGTTGGTAGATTAGTCAAAGATACAATTAATACAAACGTATGGAAAGGGATAAAAAACCTACAGTGCTCGCCCAGTTAATTAACCAGTTAGTAGTTCAACCATCAAAATCCACAAATAAGTTTAGGGCTTCTCTTGGATTGAGAATTAAAAAATAAGAATGAAATGGAAATCGTAAAAGAATTGTATTGAAATTAGCTTTATCTCTGTTTGGTGGAGGAGAAATTGAGTAAGACATTTCTTCTTTGGTTGATGAGATATTGAATTTTTATTTATTGTGAAAGAAAATCGTGAATAACTATAAAAAATTTTCTCGGGTAAAAAATTGTCAATGAACAAAAAATATTTATTCACATCTCTAGGCAGATCCAACTACCAATTAATCACATTGGAACCAAACGCTGAATATAAATTTGTGAAATAAAATGCATTGCATTCCTTTCAATTCCATCAAACCAAATAAATGCTTGAGGTTATGTTTCTGCACTATGCCATATCCAACTAAAAGAACCTAAATCCCGTTCAAATGATCACATGTGACAAGGCGAAGGAACAAAAGATGTAGAAAATTGTGTTACTGAATTCCGGGGCAGTGAGGTGGGTTATTTGAGGGATAGGGATTTGAGAAGAAAAGAATAGTTTAAAAGCCCTTTTTTTATTACACTATTCATCTTGATAGAAATTCAAAGCTCCACCATAGGAACTAAATATACACAATTTGAAAAAATGTTTCGACTTGAATTGACCTCTTAGGGGATATTTTTAATTACTCTGTTCATCTCAAAAGAGATTCAAACCTTCACCATAGGCAATAATCAAATGCAAATTGAGAAAATGTTTTATGTCGCACTGAATTCTTAATACACATATAATGAACAAGACAAACATATAAATGAGTGACCCATTATAGAGTGACTCACTTAACCTCAATAAATACACAAATAACCAATAAATACACAAATAACATTCTATCTAAAAAATAATAACATAGAAAAGGGTGGATACAAAGCTTAAAAGTAGTGCCAAGCTTAAGAATATAATTCATCAACAAAGCATATCTAATATGCAGAATAACGTAATCACGCACGCTATCTATAAAGCAAGCATAAGAAATATGAAGAGTAACAATTAATAATGTCATTCAAAAATAAGGGTGTCAATAAATGACCCGACTTGATAGCCCAATCACCCAACTAAAAAAATCAAAGTTTGAATTAACCCGATAACTATTCAAACCCAACTAAAAAAAATCAAAGTTTGAATTAACCCGATAACTATTTGAGTCAAGTTCAAGTCTAAATCATAGACCCAGATAGTATTTCAGCGGGCTTCGGGTTGACCCAAGATCAACCTAAGAATGAATTGATTATCATTTGGGTTCAGGTTGGGCAGGCTTTGGCAATTAATTTGAGTTAAACAGATCATAATTAGATTAATTGGATAAATGTAAACAGAAAATTTATATGATTCATAATAAATGGGTTATAGATGGGTCGGGTTCGGGTAGATGGTTTTAGGTTGAGTAAGGATTAGATCAAATACTTTGACCAATATAATAAATGGATCGAGTTTGTGTCAAATATATTCGATTTAGATCAACTTCAAGTCAGATCAGCACCTATCTCATCAACTCGAATTGAAAAGCCTAATTAAGAAGCAACAAAACATGTACCTGTGGGATGCATGCAGCCATGGTAAAAATGCCAAGGTAGAGTAATGACTAATCCATGTCATGATAACATTTTAATATACTATGTTAGTGAAATGTATTAGATGACGTGGTAACAAACAGACCACTCAGAGAACCTGTTACTGTTAGTATGAGCCCATCAACCATCCTACCAAACAATTGCAATCATGCTCATCAACTAGCATATTAATAAACATACAAGACATAGATATCAACTATGCATATCATTTGGGATAATATCTTATTAATGAAAACATCAATGGCATTTTATCAAGAATGGAAAACATCAACAATGATTATGTTTTGAACATGGTTACCGATAGATTCTATATATTTGAATTATGTATGGGCAATATGAAAATCAAGAGTAATATAAAAGTATTCTACTAAAAGGTAAGAAAAAAAATTGGTAAGGGGAAATACTAATGTAATTCAAATAGATAGAAAACATATACCGATAATAATTTATAATTTCAAATGCCATAAGCCAAGCGCTGCAACCTGTTACAAATAGAATTAGTTTTAGGAGCTATTTATTACACTTTCAGCATTATAAGATGAGTCCCAAGGAACGCTAAATTTTGCAAAATAAATTTGATGACCACTTCAAGGAATAGCTCCTTCAGCATAGTTTGAGTCCATGTGTAACGCGTGTTGATCTCAAATAAATAAATAAATAATAAATAAATAAATAAATGATGAATGTGTATTAATTAATAGTCATGGTGAGCCAAAGCGTTGCTACGATCCTGTGACTCGAGCACAAGCGAAGGAAGTGATCGCATGAACTGTCTTGCGTGGGACCTCATGATCCCGTGATACCACTACATGTTATCCATGAGATTTCATGATTCCCAAGATCGCGCAAGTTCCCGAATGGGAAAACTTGTATACAGCGATCGCGGGAGGCCCGCTACATCCGGGTTCCATCCTTTTACCTACTTTTAGCTGATTTCTTTCCTTTCTAATTTGTTTCATAGTTCTCTATTTCTAATTAGCTTTTTTTTCTATGAGAAAACTATTTATATCTAATCATTTCCTATTTTTTAGGGCTTTTGCTTTGCTTGATATTATGGAGAATGTAAATTTTGATTTCCTCCTTTAAGAGTGTTGTATCATTTTCTTTTTGCAACTGGAATGTCTTTATCTTATTTAAAAATATGTGGAGAACATCCTCACTGCTCATATCTCATCATTTTGTAATTCTTTTGTCTTCAGCTTGGACAAACGCCAAATGATACCTATCCTCATCCAAATGTCGTAGACCTCGCAAAGTTTCATCCCCTTATTAATTTTTCCCCACCTCCCCACAAAACCTGCTTCCAAAACACTTTCTAAGCCTTGGAACAATATCATCTAGTGTCAGAGCTTGAAAACCCCTAAATTTTGAGGGATTTGTCATTCTTACACCTAAACCAAGAATCGATGCAACCTAACCTAGCACCCCCACCGAAAAAAAATTTCGCCGCACATCCCTAAACCACAACTTTTTTTTCTTTGAAACTTCCATAGGAATAAAAGAACCTCATACCACCGAGGAGAACCCCTCAACAAGGTGTGCAAAAACTAGCTAGGGAGGATATGCAGAGGGAAATCTTCTAACTACAATAATGATTTACCTCCTTTGAGAGGACATAAATCAATAAAGTCACTCATAGCCACAAAGGCGACTCGCCGGATCAAGAGGAGAAAGTGAATCCCTTGCCCCCAAAAGCTTCAAGTGATGAACAATCGATGTTGCGTGGATTTAGTATTGAATATTAGAGGAGATGCCAAAATACTGGAGTAAAGATCGACTTATCTGATTTTGAAGGTCGCATGGATCGAACGAATGCATCGATTACTCTAGACAGTCGAATGAGTTTTTCAATACAACGATGTCCCACCTAACAGAAAGGTCAAATTGGTCGTTGTCGGTCGTTAAATTTGGGAAAAAGGTATTTGATTTAATATAATATATATAATTTTGAAATGTAAGTGTTTAATTTTGAAAATACGAGACCGAACTGATCTCATATAGACGATAGTTTAAATAAATGAGCACAACACTACAAGTGACATATTTATCCCGAGAAATAAACATATCACTATCCGTCAGGCTCGATTAAATAAACTAAAGAATTTATGACATCCGTTTTAGTCTACGAACCTTTATGTTGACCAACAAATTCTCTTATCTAATATTAAGAATTAGATAGAGTTTATCTTATTTGGTCCTTAAACCTCCATATAGAGGCAAACGTCTATAGTTAATTACCTCTTAAATGACTGAAATCACTTAAGAGCACTCTAGATGATGATCAAAAGTATCTATCTTCATGAATTCAAAGTTTGAGGTTTTCAAGGTTAGATATAGAAAATTCAAGTGAGAAAGAGACCAAATGGGAACACTTATTATGGAGTCAAGGGAAAGAAAAGTAGGGGATGTTATGGATTCTGAGGTGGACCTCAGTGACTTCCCAAATTATCTTATTGTTTGTTTTCAATTTCGAGCAGATATTATTTGATGTTTTATCATGCCAATTTTATTATTTTGAACTTATATTTGCGTGACACGGTCATACAAATCACCTGGAAGATATGAGGGTTTATGTCATATAGGACGGCAACCTCGGAACCTAAAGCGAGTTAGGGCTTCAATTGCACAACATGACTGTGCAAAGGCCTAAAAGATAAAGTGAGAATTTATGTCGCGCTATGCAAACTACCTCAAAGTCCTATGGCTTGTTATTTAATTTTAAGAAAAAGTTTGTTGTTGCAGATTTGTTTGCTCTCCAAGTTGTCCTAGTCGAGATGCCCACGGTGTTAGCTCCAAGCTTCACGTCGTAGCATTCCAAGTTTAGTTTATGCTTAAATGTACATGCAATTGTTGAGTCGGTGATCAGCTACTGGGTACCTCCTATAAAATCATACTACTGGCCTCCTATTCTAAGGGTATAATGCATAAAAACAAACAGTAACAGGTGCAGAAAAAGAAAAGCAGTAGTAGAGAAAAAATTGTAAATGTACAGTAAAGAGCATTAAAATACGCAAGTAAAGAAAGTAAAACACTATAAATGTCAAACAAATCTGTATACCTGAAGAGGTTGCTGCTCCTGTAAATGTGGTCGATGTCGTAGGTACGAGTATAGTAAAAGAATTTAAGAGACGTACAAACATGACATTTATATAAGCATGAGCAGCAAAAAGAAACACCATCTGGAAAAACTCGAGAAAAGCGACAAATGACTCACGGTAACTCGAAGAAAGTCATCGAAAACACGAGCAAAAACTGAAGAAATACTACGAGTGTTTTACCAAATTTCAATAAAACCGTAAGTAGCACACGAAGAATCCGAAAAAGGAGAGAAAACCGTAAGCACTCGGGACAAGGTGAACTCAGAATCAGAACCTTGGGTCAAAATCAAGACCCTGGGGCCCTAACAAAATAATCAACACCATGTATGTGTGATCCAACACTAAGTAAAAGGTTATCGGCCTGACAATCACAAAAAAAGGTAATTCCTAACTAGTTCATATGACTGACCAGTGAAATTTTCAGAAAATATTAGACAATGATTTCATTTTTCAAAAGAAATTTTAATTTGTCATGCACTTTGAAAGATTTTTTTTTTAGTTGATTATGTGTATACATATATATATATCACTTAAAGAAATTTTCATACTTTAGAAAGTTAATGAGTCAGTCATATTGGTAGGCTAAAACTTCCCACTATCTGTAAAAGAAATGGGTAATTATTTACTAAGTATTAGAGGTGCGGTAGTGTCAATCTCTCATTCTCTCAAGGTCACTGAGTCAGGATTGTGCTAAAACTTCTCACGCATACATAGATGCCTTTTACATCATTGTCCCCTGAACACCAAAACCGACCTACTTACAATCTTGCTTGATGGTCCACATATAGCAAAAGACTATATGTGCGCACTTATGCTTCGTACATAAGTGTATAAATCCGACCAAGAAGCACGAAAAGAAAATAAAGAAAAATGAGGTGAGAAAGAAGAGGGATTAATCCATTTGAAATAGAAAAGTAATAAAGAATGAATCGGCCCTCAAAACCGCATTCAAAACCATTTCCAAAAATGATCCAAAAACTTTCCAAACTTTCATAAGTCGAAGCCGTTGAAATTTCATACTTTCTCAAAAAAAGAAACAACATTTTAACCCTCCCACAAGTGGCGTTCTCACTTTCCAAAATAGCAAACAAGGGCCCTCAAACATACATCAAACTATCCAAAATAGCACATATTTGAATCCCAAACAAACGAGCCAAAAGCCCTCCCCAAGGAAGGTAGTTCCAAAATTGCAGCCAATCGAGCCAAGAAAAAGCCCCCAAAACTGTGTTCAAATCAGCCATAAATCAGTCTCAAAACTATGTCCAAAACAGCCAATAATATGTCCCAAAATCACAGTCCAAACCTCCCCAAAATCAGGCCAAACCTCAGCCCATACCTCACCAAAACAGGGCAACCCGGCAGCCCAAATCAGCCCATGCAGGTAAATTATTCGATACATGAGAATTGAGTGGTATGTATGTAAAACTGCAGCTCACGTGTGAGACATGGGAGTGTATGAGAGCCGGATAATCTATGCAGGTATAGATACTTAAGCCTAGGCGTTGGATGCATAAATGCGTAGGAATTTTGTGGTATGAGTGTGGCTGAAAAGAAGGCATAAAAAAATTGCCGCCAAAGACAGTAAAATAAGATCACAAAAGATCTACAAACAGTGACTCTTATCAATAGAGCTACATATATAAACTCTTCCAGGTAAATACACACCCCTCATTGACGTTTGAAAAATACATGGAATAATAGGTTCGACCATGGGAGGTGCCAACTACGCAAGACCTGGTGGCATTTAGCTGTAAATCAACTCACCTTTCAAAAGTGAATAAGTGCCAATCGTTCGCATTTAATAAAATCCTCAACATCACTAAGTACGTAGTTTTATAATATAGAGCTCAAAATAGCCATTTAGAGAGCTGCACCTTTCCCACACCATAAAAAAAATTCATCTGTAGCAAACTATTTTCTCTTTCTTTTTTTTTCTTTTTTTAAAGGAGGTTTATATGCATACCACATAAACCATATGAATTCACATATCTAACACCCAAAATTTATTTCATCATTCTACTTGTACCGATACTAATAGAAATTGAGGGTTGCCTATGCAAATATAAAAGTTTGATTAAGACATTTGACTGCAAAAGAATTGTGTTGCATGTGTGTGAATACCCCTTAGCTAACAGAGAATAAAGCCCTTTTTAAAAAAATAAATAAATAAATAAATAAATATAAAATTGGAACGATATGCTCAGAACATAAATTCCCATGGACAAAACCTATAATGAAATCCCAAATATCTAATTCCTCTTCAACCCCAACTGTGCCAAACTCCCAAAACAGCAAATTCTTCAACGCCAAAAGTGTGTGTGTGTGTACACATATGTATATATATATATATATTCATCAACGCCAGGTATAGCAAAAATCCAAAA